ATTAAACGCTGTCTTAAACGATAGTAGAAACTTAAGCTTAGTGATGTAGTTAATATAGTTGCGTATTAGGCTCTCTACCTTACGGCTATACGCGCGCTTTAACAGCGAGAAGCAGCTAAAGTTAAGAGGTTAAAGTAGGTAAGAGGAATATAGTAGCATATAGAGCGTGTAGATATTATTCTCCTTGCAAAGCTCTTAAAACTTAAGAGACTAGTGGCTCTTATAGCTGTTAAGAACAAGCAAACAACGTGTGCTAATAACGCGAGTCTTTGTGTAAGCATTAAAGTGCTTCAGCTAGGCAACACGTAGCTTATTATTTGTCTAGCTGTTATTGCTAACTATAATCGCCTAGTCGCGTAAGATCTCTGCTTCCTCGTACTAGGCGGATAGATGATATTTGCTAGCGAAGATAAGGAATGGTGGAACTGCCCAGCCAGCTGCGTTAATCGCTGCGATCAGCGTCACCCACCCACGATTGCCTAGCTCAACTACCTTTAGCTAGCCTCTCCTCTCTAACGCTATTACAACTAGCTAAGTTGCAATCTTGCCTATTATAAAGCTAGCTTTGTTAAAGTTATAGAGGTCCTTGTTATAGATGCTATACTTAGCCTTTGTCTGCTCTATAAGCTTAAACTAGCTCTTAATTAGGACTAGATCTTCACATAGAGCTCTCTGCCTATTATACGCTTAATTAAAACGCGTTATAAGACTGTCTATACGCTTAACAAAGTTAGCTAGCCAATTCTACCTAACCTAGCTAGCGCCGCGTGCAGCTAGCAGCTTATTAGCTATATCGCGTATAGCGGCGTACGTGGGCGCAAATCCACGTGAGTCAAGATTAAGTATATAACTAACTATTACCTCCTCTTCTAGCTTAGTAAGCTTCTTTAAGTTAAGCTAGCAATCGCGTTGCGCGCGCTTCCTAGGGCGTTTGTTAATTAGTGTTAATTTTAGAATATTAAAGGCTATAGCAGCGCGTTAGGTACTTTAAATTTAGTTTCTATCTAAAGAAGAGAGAGCAAGCTGAATATCTGCCTCGTGAGAGATTAACTAAGAAGCGTGGCTTGGAGGCATTGTACGCAAAGGTGTGGTGGGTGATCAAAGTTGGTAGGGTGACCGACTCGCTTGTCTGACCGACTCACTTATCCGTCACGTTAGCCTTAACTACTTATAGTTAAGCTTCTTATTTCTTAATATATTAATTTCTCTTAGAGAGTTCTATGAGGGCACTAAGCTCCTTAGCTAGATTCTCTGCCTTCTTACTTCTTTTACATTATCTTAATACTCTTTCTTTCTTACTTATATCTAGTTTATTTTTACTACTATTTCTTTTATAAACTAGTTCTATGGGTCCGGCTATATTACTCTTACTACTAATAGTTATTTTTAGTTTTTTACTTCTCTAAATAGTAACGTTTGCTATATAGGTAGTGCTAGGTTAATTAAGAGTATAAGGTTCTAGCCTATTACTGATCAGAATAGTAAGTAACCTATCTATTCTTAGGTTAAAATTTAGTTTGCCTATAACGTATTCCATCACCGAGTGTGCCACTTTTTCTTGGCATCACGAACTTCACGTACGAAAGATAATGCCCCAACAACAGAACGCGATATTAACTCAGCAAGAAGGTAGGCTTACTCTAGCTATTCAGGCCTATCGTACAGGCCAGTTTAAGAGCATTCAACGCGCTGCAGCAGCCTACAACGTCCATCATCAGCAGATCTCTTGGCGGCTTTGAGGAATCACCTTTCAACCTACAACACAGCCAAATTGCCAGAAGCTAACTAAGTCTGAAGAGCAAACTATCGTACGATATATTCTTAACCTAGACTCGCGAGGATTTGCCCCCCGTCTATGTGAAGTAGCAGATATGGCGGAGAAACTACTACGCGAACGAGATGGCGAGCCTTTAGGCAAATGCTGGGCAGAGCGGTTCGTTACTCGTATAGACGAGCTTAGAACAGCCTTTAGTCGAGCAAAGGATCGTCAGAGAACTCAACAAAAGAATCTAGAGATTATTAACGCGTAGTTCAAGCTCGTACGAGAGACGGTTAAGAAGTATAGAGTTCATT